GCTTGACCCCACATAGCTTCGATTTCTTCTTCGAAAGGACTTGTTATTTCGTCACGACATAATCCAACACAAACCAATGTATTAACATGAGGATAGAAGCCTTTGGGAACCAATGTTTGTTTTGTTTCAAAGACAAATTCTTCAAGTCTGTATGCATTAGGAAATAACTTGTCTAAAGTAGTTTGAAAGTCACCAGCGGATTCTCTCTGCTTAATGGGTTGGTGGCAATGAGGACAAGCGCCATTCGAATCAGCTGAAGTATTAGCAGATAACCTGGTGCAGTGAGGATCAAAACTGGTCATATTGACAATGAACTACAAATATAAAGAAAAGATATTTTTCTCTGTTTTTTTTTATATTTTTTGATTTTTCTTCTGAACTCATTTCAAAAATCTATTTACCACGGTAAAATAATAATCACTGATGGGTAACTGTCAAAATTCTATATGGCAATATCTTCTTATTTCGTGTAATATTTTTATATGATGAAAATTTGTTATCTTTCTCTTCCTTCTTTCTATGAGAGTAATAAAGAATTTAAAACTAGGGTTGTCACATAATCATTACCGGTAATAAGTTGTAATAAATTTTTAACAAACTACTGTATGAATCGTTAATAAGAAACAATCATAGATCTAGCGCTATTTAAATAACAAAAACAATGTAAGTTGTGATATTACATGATAAGTAATAAAAGATTATTACAATTACGAAATTACTGTTATAAAAAGTAATGGTAATATGACACCTCTATTTAAAATAGGGAGTTACTTCTCAATCATTTTGTATATATATGTATGTGTGTGCATATGCGCTTGAAAAAAATCAAACGTTCTGGGAATAAAACATATATAGACGAAATAGTGAGAAATTAAACATGCGGACAAGAAAACATGTAAGAAAAGAGGAAAATATCTAAGTAAAAGAAAAGAAAAAAATACATGATATATATATATATAAGCCGTATGTAATATCTAAACGATAAAAGAATAGAGAAAAAAAATAGATATAAAAAATAGGGGAACCGCATTATAAGATAGATATGTCAGACCGTATGTCTAATTATGTTAGATGCCGAACAGAACAGATCCTAATAACAAAAAATAATATTTAATCCGAAACTAAATGAGCCTCAAGTCTCATGAGTCTCTACGCTCCGCCGCCACTGCATTAATAGTTGTTTTTAACAATATGACATACATTATTTTTTAGTAATTTAATTACTAGATCATGTGTAATATATAAAAAAGAAAGTTTGTTTGTTTGTTCTACATATATATTTGGACTGTATAGAGATCTCAATATTTTCTCGTTATCTTCTTCAATTGTCATAGCTGCGAACTAATTCTTTTTAAGTATTGAACATCTGCAAGCAAAACTAAACAGTCTATAATAATAGTGCGAACATATATTATCAAGAATTTTCAATGATATTCATTGAATATTTATTTGAATAAGTAAACTTCTCAATAGTTGATTTATGACTTTTTTCGTTTTTCAAAGTTTTAACGTAAGATTTGTTTGACAAAATACAATCTATAGTGAAATATGGTGACATGAGTAATCAGTAAATAACCGTTCCTTATTCCGAACTCAAAGAAAGATATGCTTTTTTATTCACTTAAAAGATCAATATTTAGCTTAACAACAAAATGTTTCATAAAAAATTCTATCACATACTTATAAACTAAAGCTTTATCTCCTTACAAGCATAAAACTTAGAGTTACTAAAACTACATATACATTTAAGTAATTCTATAAGTTTAGAATAGATTGATGACAGTTCTATTTCGGCAGATTATATATACTCTGCAAAAATTTACCGAATAGTATTGTCTATTCAACGAAGAAAGAATTTTTCTTAATGAAATGGTGGTTTAGATTACGTATTGCATGATTATACTACATACTCTAGATAACAGTATTTCATCATCTTCTCATCTAATTTTTGGTAAATAATTCTCGAATATGATAGGAAATACTCATGAATATAAATCTATAACATAAACTTTTGGGACATATGAAAAAATAATTTTTCTTGATATTATAATACGTCTTTTCTATACTACTAACAGAAATAAATTGATTATTTTCTAATAAAATATCGATCCATAGAGACGACGTGCAGATGTCGATAAAATTAATAACATGTTGTTTATTGCAGAAAACTTATTTGCTGTTTAAATATATTTTTGCTCTCATTTATATCTTGATTGATATGTTTAATCATCAAACTATAAGGATATATTTTACAATCTATAATTTACAATGAAACAAGACATGTGCGACATCTATGAATCTTATTTTTTGATTGATTTATATTTTGTTCAATCTAATGATCTGGGAATAGCCAATGAAAAGGAACAAAGAACTTATTATGATGCATTTTATTTCATCCCTCTTCTTTCTTTCTTTTTTTTCCACTCGTCAAAACCGTGTTTCCTCTTTCATTTCTTTCATTTATTCTTAAACATTGTTTTTTTGATTTTCATTTCTATTTGTATTTTTGTTCATGCTAGACGATAAACAATCGTCAATAATCCGTCCTAAAGCTGTACCTCCAATGTTTACACCTGTTCTTACACCAAATACTCAATCATCACCATCGACAATGAGTAATAATAATGCAAATCGAATGTCTCAACAAGCTCTAATGGAAATAGGTACAATGATTCGTAAACATGATCCCGAAGCAACACGTTTATATGATTGTATCGGTCAAGTTAAAGTCTTTTCTTATAATTCAGTTGATTTACGTTGGGAAAATTCACCTAATATTGAAGGTAACTTATGTGCATATGAAAGACAACAAATAATTAATAATAAAATTTGTCCTTCATATGCATTTGCAATTATCAATGGAGATAAAAGTTTTATACAACCAATAACTTCGGATATGGTACAACATGCTGACAAATTACGTTTATTCTTTGAAGTTGCTCGAAATGGTCGACGTGAAGTATTCTGTTTACATTTTTTAACTGAAGCGGAATGCCTTCGGTTACATGCATTTCTTAATCGATATATTCAAGCTTTACGAAATCTTGCCGAACAACAACAACAACAACAACAGCAGCAGCAACAACAACAACTACAACAACAACAAGTTCGTACAATACCATCTTCTGCTCCTATTGATTCTCAAACACAATTAAATGGACAAATAGCACCGATGATACCTATTCAACAAACACCACCTAATATCTATCGACAACAAATGCCGCAACAACAAATTATAGTAAGAATAAAGAAACTTTTATTTTCTATCAACTGAAAAATATCTATACTAATTTATTTTAGACACCCAATCCAACAATCCCTACAACACCTCAATTTGGTCCTTCGCGCATTAATGTCAATCAAACTCCAACTCGTTTAACTGCATCCTCACTTCTTGCGGCTCAACAGCAGCAACAACATCAAATACAACAACAACAACAGCAGCAACAACAGCAAACACCACATCAAATAAATTCCTATCCTCCTCAAATGCC